AGCTCTCAGGATTTCATCCTCCTTGGAATTACCCATTCGATTTACCAAGTTCTTCGTAACTTAACTATATATATATATATATATATATATATATATATATGAGCGCGTGGCCGATCGTTCGATTTCTGACCATGAGACTCCAGTTCGAATTTCACCACGGTTGATTTGTCAGGAATAAGATGCTGTCAGTCTGGCGGAGGCATGCGACTGAAAAACATAACGCGGGTTGACCCAGTCCTTGCCAGGGAAATTGAGTAAACGGAACTCTTGCGGGCCGTCGATAGCTGTGCTAACACGAAATCACAAGTCATCGTGACCGATGGTTTGAACGTGCTGGCTTTGTTCAGACTGTTTTATCACGATAGATAATGCGCTCTTTCACAGAAACTGTAACTAATGTCTTCTCAGCATACTTGCAGTATAAACCACAGGTTGGCTCTGTGGATGTTAGACAAACAAAACTGTGCCTGAGCGAGCGACTGCAATAGGGATTGTATAGCCCCACCCCCAGTAACAGACGGGTATCCTCGAATACGAGTGACCAGCTATTTATATACATTGATTTAAGGTATGCTATATTTATGAATAAAAGTGCTCATTATCACAGATAGAGCAGATGCAAATATAAAAGTGGTCACTGTAGTCAACACCAGGCAGTGATAGTTCAGCGCAGTCTTCAGGCTAGATGCCTTTCCGTGACTTAGTTTCATGTCGACCCCAGGTTGTCATAGAGCTGTTTCACAATCTTCAGGTGGTTAAAGGGACAAGATACTCGATTCTATATTTAGCTAAATATAGAATTGAGTATCTTTTCCCTTGAACCTGGGGTAGATTGTAAGACAGCCGCTTAACAACTTGGGAGTTCACATGAAACTGGAAGTCGCGGAAAGACAGCCATATTTGAGTATTGTTTTTTTTATATTTCTTATAATGGCTCTGTTTATTTATTTTATATTGAGCGCTGTTCTTATACAGTCCTTATTGATTTTATTATATATATATATATATATATATATATATATATATATATATATTTGTGTGTGTGTGTGCATCTAACGATGAAGCAAATTTATATTTTTCTTTGTGAATTGATGTTATTTTTAAGTAGGAAAGCGGAAAATATTCTCTGCTAATGTTGTTTCGTTGTTCAGTCGTCCGCTCGACTAGACGTTGAAACAGGACGACGGTCGGCGAGCCGACGATTCATCCCACTTGATCTGAACGAATGTCGATTTTCAAACTGAACACATGACCCATTTGGCTGTGATTCATGTCAGTGCATTTCTTTACTTTTTTTTTTTCCTGTTTTATTTATCATCAGTATAATGAAAGCTCCTTTCTTCATATCTGATAAATATTTACTTTCTTCAATTTATTTATCTTCTTTTCGGATTATTAGTCATTTTATATTTTGATATATGAACTTCGTTTTTCCGACCTTCCTATTTTTTTTTTTTTTGTCCTTTTCTTATATTTCGTTCTTCTGACTTTATTTATATTCTACTGTGCATTTTTTTCATTTAGTTTGAAATTTTCTTCTTTTGCTTTCATTATATTTATCTCTTGCTTTCCTTCGCTATTTTTTTCTTTCTTTCGTTCGATATTTTCCTCTCTCTTGCTTTCCTTCGCAATTTTTTCTATCTTGCCTTCCTTCCCTATTTTGTCTCTCTTGCTTTTCTTCGCTGTTTTTCTTTCTTGCTCTCCTTCGCTATTTTTCTCTCTTGTTTTCCTTCGCTATTTTTCTTTCAATCCTTCCTTCGCTATTTTTTCTCTCTTGCTTTCTTTCGCTATTTTTCTTTCTTGCTTTCCATCGCTATTTTTTCTTTCTTGCTTTCCTTCCCTATTTTTCTTTCAATCTTTCCTTCGCTATTTTTTCTTTCAAGCTTTCCTTCACTATTTTTTCTTTCAAGCTTTCCTTCCCTATTTTTTCTTTCAAGCTTTCATACGCTATTTTCTTCTTTCTTGCTTTCTTAACGCTATTTTTTCTCTCTTGCTTTCCTTACCTATTTTTTCTCTCTTGCTTTCCTTACCTATTTTTCTCTCTTGCTTTCCTTACCTATTTTTCTTTCAATCTTTCCTTCGGAATTTTCTTCTCTTGCTTTCTTCCGTTATTTTCTTTTTTCATGCTTTCTTTCGCTATTTTGTTCTCTCTTGCTTTTCTTCGCCATTTTTCTTTCAATCTTTCCTTCGCTATTTTTCTCTCTTGCTTTTCTTCGTCATTTTTCTTTCAATCTTTCCTTCGCTATTTTTCTCTCTTGCTTTTCTTCGCCATTTTTCTTTCAATCTTTCCTTCGCTATTTTTCTCTCTTGCTTTCTTTCCATGTTTTTCTTTCAATCTTTCCTTCGCTATTTTTTCTTTCAATCTTTCCTTCGCTATTTTCGTCTTTTTTTACTTTCTTACGCTATTTTTCTCTCTGGCTTCCTTACGCTATTTTTTTCTCTTGCTTTTCTTCGCTATTTTTCAATCTTGCTCGCCTTCGCTAATTTTCTCTCTTGCTTTCCTTCGCTATTTTTCTTTCAATTTTTCCTTCGATATTTTCCTCTCTTGCTTTCTTTTGCTATTTTCTTCTTTCTTGCTTTCTTTCGCTATTTTTTCTCTCTTCCATCATTCGTTATTCACGTGTCTTGCTTTCGTTAGCTAATCTTTTTTCTCTTCCTTTCGTTCGCTATTTACTTCTCACATTTTCGTTCTTTATTTTCCTTTTAAACTTATTTCTTTCTTTACTAAATCCTCACCTCATACAATGCCCACGAGTCACTCAAAATTGAGTCTTACCAAATGAAGTTATTATCTGTAAGAGGATGAAGTAAGAAGTGCACATTATGACTATATGAAGGAAATATAACCGCTGACGATGCCTTTTATATTGTAGCTAACGGGGTACCATCCTATAAGAAGCGGTTCTCGGGAAGAAGCTGGCCGTGTGGAATGTCATTTTACCAATGAAATAATAAGAGAATGACAATTTATTGTTTTTCTCCTGAGTTGGGAGTGCATAAGAATTTATTTTAATTTACAAGTTCATGTTCTTTGTTTTCTTGATGGATGGCTGTAGTCTTTTCCTGTTTTTGTTCTTTTTGTAATCGGATAATACAACTAGTGCTTTTTCTAACTCTTTATATGTTACAAAGACCAATCACTGTCATTCCTTGTCATGTGACTAGTGGTTGGGTCTTTATTATGTTTGTAAATCTTCCATATATATTTTTGCTTGCTCACCGTTTTCTGCTTCTCTCTTTGTTTTGTTGTTTCCTGCTCTAAGGATTTCCCCTCTACAGAAAAAATTTGTATAATATTAAATTATTATATTTTAGAATATTACAAGGCAAAAGCTACAGCTTATTAGGCAACAAGTTGCAACACCTTGAAGACTAACAAAAGTAAAGGTTTCAATTTTTCCTTCTTTATAGCACTGGTGACCTGTCTTGTAATACTAGATTATTTCTTTTTTTTCTGTTTTGAGTAGTAATTCGAATATCACCACATTCTCGAACAAATTCTCTTCACATCCATTCGTGAACTCTTTAGCCATTGACTTTTCCACATCAGATTCACCCCATATTTTTCAATAAAATCTAAACCTATTCAGGTCAGCCCAACAATAATGTTAGTGGACTAAACACACTATACGTGATTCATAACACGTGATACGTTTATTCATGATACGTGTATTTATAAGTGATATGTGATTCCTAATACATGATTCATAATACGTGATATGTGTATTCATTATATGTGTATTTATAGGTGATATGGGATTCCTAATACGTATATTCATAACACGTGATACGTGTATTCATGATACGTGTATTTATGGGTGATATGTAATTCCTAATACGTGATTCATAATACGTGATACGTGTATTCATGTTAAGAGTATTTATAAGTGAAAGACGATATGGCAAATTTAATATGGACTTAAATATAACAATGCATGATGAATGTGACAACAAAGATGAATGAAGAATCAAGTTGTTTGATCAGCACGAATATTTAAAGTATTGTGCCAAAAATATGAAAACGAATGATTAATACAGAATATATATAATCTTGGCTAAAATCATGCGCACAACCAAACTACACCTTTAAGTAAACATCACAAAGATACATATGTGTTGTATCCTAGGGAAGAATAGAATAATCAAACGAAGGTAGGTAATGAACGATAATACTTAGAAAAAGAACAACACATATAAGATTCGCCAGAGGCGCGTACTAGTAGTCAACTGTTAGAAGGGAGTCAAGTAAATTCCACAAGTGAGTCAAGTAAATTTCACGCAGAACAGCATACAGTATTTACTACTGGGGCACCTCGGCGTGGTGTAATGGTTAACAAGCTCGGCTTGCTAGATCCGTTACTACTGAAATGTGAGTTCGGTCCTCATTGGATGCCCTATACTTTCGGCCTTGTGCCACATCTGAGCTACGCTTGGAAAATCTCTACAGTATTTACTACTATATTTATGGGAATGGGCGCATATACATTATCGTCCGTAGGTAGGCTACAACAATATTCAAGCTGGTGTAAGCAGTACATGAAAACTGATTTCAGTTTTAGTGAGAAATAAATTGTAAAGAAATTCGCACTTTTGAAATGATTACTTTGTGTTTACATTTTCAATACATGCAGTAATATAACCGTTAAGTCTTACGTTCTAATTTTTATTTGCTGATATCAGAGTCAGTAAAATTTGCACCGATTTTACAGTTATAAAATGAGTTTACATCAGGGTCATATTAGATAGGGTATGAGTTCAAATAGGGTTCTTCTGTAATGGAAGCAGAAACAAGTATTAAGTCACCGGATATGCCAACGATTTTCTGACTAGTTTCCATTAGATTTTTTTCTTTCGAAGATTAGTCCCAGGGATAACGATAAACTACATCCGGCAGCATGGTCTCTGATCAGGGAATAGGAAGTTTTTAGGTGCATCGAACGATCTCTTATTTGCTATTGTTCCCAGGTTCACCCTGACCAAGCTCTGAGCAAATAGTGAAGCCCAAAACTGGTTGGATTTCACCCATTATTATCTCTGTCCCTCTGGCTTGATCTATATCTCTCCCTCTATTCATGCTCTTTCAATCTGGCCCGCCCTCTCTCTTCATGCCCTGTGTGCCTGGCTCTCTCTCCCTTCCTGCTCTCTCTGTCTGTTTATCTGTCTTCATTCTCTGTCTGTTTGTCACCCATCATTATCTTTGACTAA